GAGAGAGAGAGAGAGAGAGAGAGAGGTAAACGAGTGGAGGCCACAGACGAGACGCTGATGTTCTTTAACGAGCTGGATCCGTCAGTTTTCCATTCTAGTGAAAGTGTCAGAGGTGTCTGAGACGCTGACTGACTTTACGCTCTAATATCACGTGCTTTATTACAAACAGCCTTTTTAACTGGACCCTATAAACGAGGTATAATCAGCGCTGGGAGAGACTCAATGTGAAGCTGCAGAGAGTGATTTCTGTTTAACACTGAAACTAGTGCTGGGCGGTATACCGGTTCATACCGAATACCGGTGTTTATTTTTGTTATGATATGAATTTTTAAAATACCGCAATACCGGTGTATGTCGCTTAAACATCGTTGGGAACGCGACACTGTTTGAAAGGGGTCTCTTTTCACTGTTGCACGTGGTCATACCGCCCAGCACTAGCTGAAACCGAACGAGTCGTTAAAGCAGCTAATAAACACAATCTCAACCGAACAACATGATTCAGAAAAAACACCACTCACTAGAAATAAGAGTTCAAAATACAGCTACTGAAGATGATCTTGTGCTTTAATCAACAGAAATATCAGATTATACGCGTGCATCTCAAAAATCAACCGTATTTCTTTACTACTCCATTGTTTTTCTGTATAAACGTGAGCTAGACAGACACTTGTGTCTCCTGCATGAAAACAATTAAATTAAACAAATAAAAGACAAATAAATAGAACAAAAAAAATTAGATGGAAAAAAAAGAGAAAAAATGAACAAAAATAGAAAAAATAAAATAGAAAAATAAAAAGAACGAAAACAGAAAAACAATTGGGGAAAAAGAATTTAAAAAAAAGAAAGATTGTAAAAAAAATCAAACAAAACTAACGAAATAAAACAGAAAAATAAAAAGAATTAAAGAAAACCGAAAACAGTAAATAAAGAGAAAAAGAACAAAAATCAAACAAAACAGTAAAATGAAATAAAAATTTGAAAGAAAGAAAGAAAGAAAAATGTAAACAAATGAAACCAAACCAATGAAAAAAAACAAAGAAAAATAACAAAGAATTAAAGAAAACCGAAATCAATAAATAAAAAGAAAAAGAACAAAAACAAAACGATAAAATGAAATAAAAATTAGAAAGAAAGAAAGAAAGAAAGAGAAAAGGACTCAAAGAAAACAAATGAAAAAAGGAAAAAGAAAAGTGTCTCACTAAAGACGCGACGCTCAACCCAACAGAAGTTCAGCTTTTAAAAACGCGTCTCGTGTTTTGTTTTCCTCGTTGCACCGCCTGCTCTCACGTTCCTCTCCAGCGTGTGACGGGTTCTGGTAACCCCAGACGGGGTTAAAGACGGACAGAAAACAAAGCACTCTGCGTCAGACTGATCCGTCTCTCTCGGCTCCAGATGGAGACTTCTGTTCCGGCGAGCAGACGACAAACATTCATGACAAACTGGGGCCGAGCCGCTTCTGTGGTCTTTTAGGTGCCACTGGAGGAGAAAGGCAAACACTTCAGCGGCAGAGCGTCTGATTACGGGTTCAGCGCATGCGTCTCTGGGAACTCATCTATCAGACCAGTCAGATTTTTTAAGAGATTTAATCATTTTCGTGTTCGGGTCATTTCGACCCGGGTTTGTATGGAGCACCGTTGGGTGTCAAAGATACTTTGTTCAATTATCTATGGAGTTATATTAGTGTCAAAACACTTTTTCCTCATAGCTCACACACTTTTGAGACTGAATTGTGTTGATGAACATGAATATGTGGTTTGTTGATGAACCATTGCAGCACGAAAAACTGATAGCTTTTATCATCTGAAATTGAAAATTTATGCAAGTAAAGTGAATTTATTTAGTTAGAAATAAATATGTAGGTTTTATAAATTTAGACTGTTTTGGAGCAATCGTGAGTTATGAATTCAAAGGAATTTAATTAAATTCCATTAATTCCAATTGGGTTCATGCTGATAATTCTCAGATTACATGTTCTTATAAATTTCATACAATCATATAATCAAATAAGATTTCTCATAAATATTGAAAAAAATATATAAATTTTTTGCGTAATAGTTTTTTGTGTGGTTCTTGTGTAATTTGAAATTTCCAAGAACTTCTCAACTTTTTAATTACAAAAAAAAAGTAGTAATTACACTGTAACATTCAAAACTTTGACTTTTTTCCCGCACTCACTCAATGAGAAGTTTCTAATCAGATACAATATGGATTTAGTTGGAAAATATAAGTTATGACTGTTTTATAAAACAATTGGGTCCAAACAGACCCGGAATGTGAAACAGTACACCGATTCAGAATGCATTATGAGGGTTAATGGCTCATTCAGGTTCAGTGCTTTACACAGACATCACTCTCTGCAGCTTCACATCGAGTCTCTTTCCCAGCACTGAGCTTATGTTTAAATATGGTTTTATAGGGTCCAATTAAAAAGGATGTTTGCAATAAAGGTTGTGATATTGCAACTCTGACACGTTCACTATGATGTGAAACCCGAGTGTGTGTGCGAGAGAGTGTGTGTGTGTTTGTGTGTGTGTGTGTGAGAGAGTGTGTGTGTGTGAGAGAGTGTGTGTGTGTGTGTGTGTGTGTGTGAGAGAGTGTGTGAGTGAGTGAGTGAGTGAGTGAGTGAGTGAGTGAGTGAGTGAGTGAGTGAGTGTGTGTGTCTAGTTTGTACATCTGGACGGGCAGAAGAGCTCGACTGTGTTTTTTATTATACGGCGTGTATTGAGTTTCATGGCCTGGCAGACGAGCGTTCAGCGTTAACCTCGCGCTCCGGAGGATAGAGGCTGCGCCTGATGGATCTGAATTGCCTGAAATTACTTACAAATTAGGGAGCAGAAATCAGCATCATCCGTGTGCCGGTCCGATCCACCGTAAAACGCTGCCTATGCAGACAACTCACTGTGCTTTAGAACTGAACATCTACAGGGTCAATTCTGTGGTTTTAATTATTATTAAATCTGAAACAATTGATGCTTTTAACCCTCATAATACATTCAAAATCTGTACTAGTTTCAACTTCAAAGAGTCGTTGTTTTATAAAACAGTCATAACTAACAGCACATTGTATCTGATCAGCAACTTCTTAATGAGTCAATGTGAAAAACTTTCAAAGTTTTGAACATTTCCATATTACATTTACCCCTTTTTTAGCAATTTAAATATTCAGACATTCTTTGAGATTTAAAATTACACATCAACCACATAAAAAAAAATTCATTAATATAAAAAATCTAAATATGAAATAAATATATGTAAGAATTTATAAGAACATATAATCTGAGAATTACCAGTATTTATGGAAGCCGTTTCCGCCACTGAATAAAAAATAAAAAAAGGTTATTGCCACGTTTTCATCTCACAATTCTGACTTTTTTCTCATAATTGCGTGATATAAACTCACAATTGTGAGATAAAAAGTGGCAATAACCTTTTTTTATTTTTTATTCAGTGGCGGAAACGGCTTCCATAAGTATTAACCCCATTGGAACAAATAGAATTTAAATAAATTACTTTGAATTTATAACTCATGATTGCTCAAAAATAGTCCAAATTTATAAAACCTACATATTTATTTCTAACATAACAAATACGACTGAAATGTTTTCAAAAAAATTTAATTCATTTTACTTGCATAAACTTTCACTTTTAGATGAAAAAGTGATTATTTTTTACGCTGCAGTGGTCGTCAATAGAAGATACATTCATGTTTATCAACAAAATTCAGTCCCAATAGTGTGAGAGATATGGGGAAAAGACTAAATATATTTTACATAGTTCATTTTGACACCTAAGCACCAAAACATATAACATATTAAATGGTTATATCTTTCAAAAAAAAAAAAAATCAGATGGATGGATGGATGGATAGATTTATAGATAGATAGATGATGTATATTTTGAGGGTCTTAAAGCAAAGTTTTGTTTCCTTATTAAAAACAAAATTCATTTTTTGACATTTTTATGTATTTCTTCTGAGTCAAAAGGGACCCAAATGCGCAATTTTTTCAGATTTCAGAGTGACATTTAAAAGAACACAACTGACACACTTCTAAAACACAGCAAGTCGCCTACATAGGCAGCGTTTTAAGTGTTCTACTGCTTTCTAAATCAGTGTTTCTCCGCCGTCTCGTCTCGTCTCGCGCTCCGGAGGCCAGAGGCCGCGCCTGATGGATCAGAATTGCCTGAAATTGCTTACAAATCAGGGAGCAGAAATCAGCATCATCCGTGAGCCGTTCCCACATGCGGAGGGCAAAGGAAATATAATTTAGTGCGGGCACCTGATGGGTCAGACCCGCAAAACTAAAAGACCGTAATCTGCCTCTGAGAGGCGAGCGGCGCTTCAGAAGAAACCCGATCCGAGCGTTTCGGGACAGATGCAGAGATACGCGGCCCTCATGAATTATGTAGAAGCGTCTCCAGCGATGGGCTGAAGGGGATCGTTTGTATTCGTTGACTTTCTGTTATCGCATCGCACCACTGGAAGCTAACGGGACCGCGCCGGTACTCTTTTCATTAGCGGGGTTAAACAAACAGACAGGGTTGATTTGACGCGCTCTCGCTTTAGAGTGAATCTTAATGTGGCTGATATAATCTAATATTAAACACATGGCACAGGTTATGGGAGAGTTCGAGAAAGATTCAGACACCACACAGATGAACTGGTTTCAGACCGGCTGCGCTCGCTCGCTCCAGATCAACAACGTTTGTCTTCCAGTAATGATATCTAAACATTCTTACAGTAAATCAAGATACATTTACTAGAAACGCAAAATATCTGCTAGTGGGGTCAGAAAAATAAACCTGACTTCTCTTTGAATTCAGTTGATTTTTCTGAGCCCATCAGCAAATATTACCGGTAGTTCATGTTTTAATCATAAACTCGCTTCATTTTGATCAGTTTCTCAGGAAACAAGACTTCTTATGTCAGGTCATTCTGCATCTCCAGTAAATGTGTCTTAGCAACACACACACACTCTCTCTCTCACACACACACACTCTCTCTCGCTCACACACACACACACACACACTCTCTCTCTCTCTCTCACACACACACACACTCGGTCTCTCTCACACACACACACACTCTCTCGCTCTCACACACACACACACACTCTCTCTCTCTCTCTCACACACACACACACTCGGTCTCTCTCACACACACACACACTCTCTCGCTCTCACACACACACACACACTCTCTCTCTCTCTCTCACACACACACACACTCGGTCTCTCTCACACACACACACACTCTCTCGCTCTCACACACACACACACACTCTCTCTCTCTCTCTCACACACACACACACTCGGTCTCTCTCACACACACACACACTCTCTCGCTCTCACACACACACACACACTCTCTCTCTCTCTCTCACACACACACACACTCGGTCTCTCTCACACACACACACACTCTCACACACACACACACAGACACTCTCTCTCTCACACACACACACACTCTCTCTCGCTCTTACACACTCTCACACACACTCTCGCTCTCACACACACACACACACTCTCTCTCTGTCTCACACACACTCTCTCTCTCTCTCTCACACACACACACACACACTACTCTGGGAGATTCATTGGCGTGCGGGAGCGTATAATTCCAGGAATGCTGTTCCATCCACTTCTCAGTGTCAGAACAAAGCTCTCCTCCATCACTCACTGGAACTTTAACGCATATATTCCCCGACAGAGCGTCTGAAGCAGATCTGAGAGCAGAACGCAGCCGTCCCATGATGCACCTGTGTCCAGCGCTCAGGTATCTGAGGTGAAGCCGCATTAAATCATGCAGCTGGCAGGAGCTCACGCGTCTCTAAACACACCACGCTCAGAAACAGCCATCGATGATTCCACAACACTCGAGAGCGAAGCTTCTGCGGTTTGTTTTGGGCGTGAGTCTGTGTTCACATCGGCTGGCTGTTTCTGTCACACCAATGAAGAGGATTCAGTGAGGCCAGGATAATAACACGCACAAATCATGTGAGAAGATTCATGTTCTAACCCTCAGAACGCTATTTTCACATTCTGGGTTCACTTAGATCTGAGGAATCGTTATTTTATTAAACAGTCATAACTTAATATTTTTTCAACTAAAAGCATATTGTATCTGATCAGCAATTCCTCATTAATTAGTGAATATGAAAAACTTTCAAAGTTTTGAATGTTACCATGTTATTACTGCATTTACCCCTTTTTAGCAATTAAAAATCTGAGAAATTCGTTGAAAATACATGTGAACCACACCAAAAAACTATTATGCACTATATATATATATATATATATATATTCAATATTGATGAGAAATATTATTTGAATATATCACTATATGTAATTTATCAAAACAATTTAATGGAATTTAATTAAATTCATTTGAATTTATAACTCATGATTGCTCAAAAACAGTCCAAATTTATGAAACCTTAAAAAAAAAAAAAAAATTCAAAAAATAATTTTACTTGCATAAACTCTGATGTGTATTTTGAAGGTCTTAAAGCAATTTGCTAAGTTTTGTTCCCTTACTAAAAAATGCATTTTTTAAAGAAAATTCTAAGTATCTCTTCTGGATCAAAACAGACCCGAATGCATTTAAGGATAAATATAAAATAGACTGAACACAGAATTATGAAAATATCCTTTAAATATGAAACTAAAACCAAAGGGTGACAAATCACCATCATAAAAAGTGAATCGCTGATTTATTAATTCAACGGATTCATTTAAAATCAAAGTGACAGATTTTGAACCTGCATACTAGTATACTACTATTTCTGCCTTAAACACATAAGCTTATTACAAGTATGCAGTTTTGAATTTAGTAACTCAATGAATGGCTTGATCATCAGCGAAATGGAGAAAAACAGTGCAATATTACGTCTGAACTGAATATAATATTAATATTTTTACTTATTATCAGTGCTGGGGAAAGTTACTTTTAAAAGTAATGCATTACAATGTTGCGTTACTACATTAAAAAAGTAACTGATTACGTTACTTAGTTACTTTTTATGGAAAGTAATGCGTTACGTTACTTTTGCGTTACTTAGAATGCAGAAGAAGAAATTTCAACACTTCAGCAATAAAAAAAGACACGCAGATGTTTGTCTAGAGTAATTTGTGCTTATTAGTACGGTTGAACTGGATCATCGAAGGTCAGAAGCAAATAGAATGGGATTAAATACATAAAGCATATTTGTGTTGTTTAACATTAATTATTGCAGGTTTGCGTCATATTCCAAGTTGCATTATTTTTTATTCATTTTGAGGAATACTGAATCTGTTTTATTGTTTTTTTGTGAGTGAGATGAATTAATGCATATTCATATTTATTTTAGAACTACAGTAACATCTTCTGATTTCTGTCACCATGGCAACACCAGAGCTGTCTGTCAATAAATTGGAGAAAAAAAAAGGTAACTTGCGTTACTTATTTGAAAAAGTAACTCCGATATTCTCTTGTAAATTAAAAAGTAATCCGTTACTTTACTAGTTACTTGAAAAAAGTAATCTGATTACATAACTCGCGTTACTTGTGATGCGTTACCCACAACACTGGTTATTATACACCATTGTATAAAGTATAAAATAGTGATTTTCGTCTGTATTTCTAAACCGGACTGTCAGATCTGAAAGCGTCCAGCGTTCCTGTTTGATTATGATCCTGATCCTGAACTAAACCACATGTGTTTGTTGACATACCTCTCCTGCAGGATGATCTTGTTCTCCTTCTTCCAGTAGTCTTTAAAGTCGGTGGAGAACTCGTGCCAAACGGAGAAGAAGGTGTTGAGCGAAACCTCTTTCTCTCCACTCTTGGCCTTCACTGAGAAGAACACGCAGAGCTCCAGGAACCTGCGACACGAACGGATCATGAACAAAGAGGAAAACCTGATTGCAACTAAACACAGCATCACTTTCACAGAGAAGCATCACTGCCATTATAACAGTATATCGGTTTAAACTTCTAGTAGCACAGGATTTACACACTGCAGCTTTAAACTGCATGCATATAAACACAATTGCAAAAAATGATGCTTTACATTTTGTGGGTGTCACCGAGTTGCTTCTCTTGACTTTCCAGCTCCGCTTTTGCTGTAAAAAAAAAGAAATAAAAAAGCAGTTTTGAATGTTTAATTACATGTCTTTAAAACAGCTCTGTGTGAGTTTACAGTAATAAAATAAGTCAACTTTATTTCTAAAGTACAGTCGAGACTGATTCAAAGCAGCTTCAGAAAAGTAAAAAGGGAAATAAGTGTTAATGCTGCAAAATGCAGCTCAACACAGACCCTTTTTTAACGTTTTTTATGTTTTTGGGTTTTTAAATGTTATACTGTGTAAGTAACACTTTTATAAATCTAAATGTGCACGTAGAATAATATTGTAATATTAAATAAAAATATATAGGTGAAAAAACCCTTTAAAAAGGTAAAAGATGAAAAAGTGGCCTTTAATAATGGTTAAAAAGTAAATAAATAAATACATGTAACTTTAAAGTTATGAACTTCTAATATTAATTATATATGTACACATTTATACATATGCACATAAATATATATAATATAAATATATATATACACTGCTGTTCAAAAGTTTGGGATCAGTAAGATTTGTAATGTTTTTTAAAGAAGTCTCTTCTGCTCAAGGCTGCATTTATTTGATTAAAAAAACAAACAAAAAAACAGTAATATCGTAAAATATTATTATAATGAAAAACAGCTGTTTTCTATGTGAATATCTGTTAAAATGTAATTTATTTCTGTGATGCGCAGCTGTATTTTCAGCATCATTACTCCAGTCTTCAGTGTCACATGAGATTTATTCAAAATAGAAATCTTTTGTAAGAACATACACTAGCGTTCAAAAGTTTGGGGTCAGTATTTTTTAAATAAATGCTTTTATTCAGCAAGGATGTATTAAATTGATAAAAAAAAAGTGATACTTACATTGTTAGAAAATATTTCTATTTTAAATAAACGCTGTTCTTTTTAACTTTATTCATCAAATAATCCTGAAAAAAGTATCACAGGTTCCAAAAATATATATATACAATATATATTAAGCTGTTTTCAACATTGATAATAATCAGAAATGTTTCTTGAGCAGCAAATCAGCATATTAGAATGATTTCTGAAGATCATGTGACACTGAAGACTGGAGTAATGATGCTGAAAATACAGCTTCGCATCACAGAAATAAATTACATTTTAACAGATATTCTCATAGAAAACAGCTGTTTGACATTATAATAATATTTCACAATTTTACTGTATTTTTGATCAAATAAATGCAGCCGTG